TGATGAAGTGTGAGTATGATGAAGTGTGAGTATGATGAAGTGTGAGTATGATGAAGTGTGAGTATGATGAAGTGTGAGTATGATGAGATTGCTGCTAGTTAAGCTACGTCAACCAGCTCATCGAGAAGAAGGAAGAAGTCATCAAGAAAATGTGGAACAGTAAAGAACCATCAAAGTTAAAAAGAAGAAGAGGAGAAGAGAAGAAGTTGAAGAAGAAACAAACAAGCAAGCAAAGAAAAAAAACCCTCCCAGAACCAACGACCACACACATAATTCGGGGTATCAGGCGCGCGTGCGGGACGGAACGTTACGTTTAAGAAACGATTAGCCATTTATGAGTACAGTAGGAAACCCCTTCTTGCGGAAAAAAAGGGTCGAGGAACTGTACTTTTTTGTTGGACCAGAGAAAAACACCACCACCACCCGCCAAACCAACCGACCAACCCCAACCGATTCTACCGACCTAGCCTTCTTGTGGTATGAACGCAGACCTCCCTTTTCACGCCGTGATCGCCAATAAAACAGAGTAAGAGATTCTCCCCTCAAATGACCCGACCGAGCGGTATAAACTTCTTGTGTTTCGCTGTATGCGATGAATGTTTGGACCAAGTCAGATGTCTGATGTGACAGAGTATGATTGGTAAACTCCAATCATTCATTCGTAGGCAACGGAGATGTTCAAGCCTGCTGAGGTGCGCCCTCGTTCCGTTGTCTCATATGCTCATTGAGCAAATTGATGTCGGTACGAGCGGCTGGCACATTGTCCACAATGTGTCGAAGGTTGTTCATCTGCAGCTCCGACATGTCGGGGAAATGCGTTAGGATCTGCACGATAACTGGGGCGTCTATGTGCGGGCCGAAGATCTCGACGGCTCGCGGGTTGCGGTGGTGGATCGGAACCTGTGGTATCATGCCGGGATGGGGAAACCCGTTCTGGTGGTGCATTGGTGCTGGTGGAGCACCGAAGGACTGGCTTGGGGGGAATCCGGGTTGCACTGGGGAGTACTGGGGTCCATTTGGGTTTACGGGCGAAGGGCTGGGTCCACCCATGGATCCAGGCACGGGAGGTGCAGCATGAGGGAATTGGCTTGGAGTGGAGTGTGCAGCAGAATAAGACCCCAGAGGTTGACCAGAAGCTGCCTGAGCCTTATCCTCCGGAAGCTTTGCAACAAGAGCGAGGAGCAACATCGGTTCTCGACGAGGGGTTTCGATCGTGCAATACTCCAGCATATTCAGGAATCGGGGTAGCTCGCCGCCACCAGGCTCGACCGGTATCACGTATAGGTCCCGCATCGCTTCGTTGTTGAGTCGTTCCACGGGGACGACACCCCAGCGATCACGGGGTTGGAAGTAATTGTATAGATGGTCGTAGATGGTGCGGCCCTCAGGTGTAACAGGATGAACGGCTAACACGCCAACGTCGTGACTGCCGCTTGATGAAAGGCCTTGGATGTAGTCGTTGCCCCTCTGACTCTCAATGCGGCCTGCAATGGGCAACTTGGACGTCAAGAGTCGATCCCACGGAACGACCAACCCGAAATCGCCACCAGCAACGAACCGCGCAACAGCATCGAAGGGCCCAACGGATTGCATATCGAGGGTACCGTGCCAGACGATTGTTGGATCGGCAGCGTAACCGGTCATCTCAGTATCGTTGTCCTCGTCCTTCAGGAGACGATCTATATCTGCGTCATCACCTGGACCCTGCTGAGATGTCTGCTGTGCTCGTATTGAGCTCTGTCGTCGCTGAATGAAGTGTTGTTGATCTGCCTGTGGGGACTTCACCTTGTCGAAAACGGAATTTATATCGAAGTTTGTAGAGGGCCGTCGTACACTATCGCGCCTTGGGCTTGATGTGTCAACTGCCAGTGGCCCCCTCCCCAGGTCTTCTGGCAGCTCGACAACATTTCCATCCTCTTGCTTAGGGGAGCGGTGTTCTCCATCAGCTCCATCCCGGATGCGCTCCGGCGGTCTGAATCCCGGCTCGTTGCCAGGCGTGTCCTCGCCCACGATCTCTTCACCCTTGTGGGTCTTCCTCAACCGCGGACCGGTCTCTTCTGTCAAGACCATCTGTTTCTCAGCCGCTTCTCGCATCACAGCGAATTCCTTCTGCTTCTCTTCGCTGGCCATTTCCTCGGTCGACATGGAGCCAAGTTCATCGGGTTTGAGAGAGCCAGAAAGCAAGCGGTCTAGGAGAATCGTGTTCTTCTTAATGTTAAACAATATGCTCCTAAAATGTTGGCTGTAAGGCGAGGAGTTGTCGGTTGGAACGCCATGATACGTGATCGAAGCATGGTCGATCTGCAAAGCCAATCTTGTCGCGATAGACGTTGGTGTAGCACCGTCGGGAATCCGGAAACCGCGAGAGTCGGATGCCTCCTTGACGAGGGAGGACAGCAATGTGATCAGCTTCTCTACTAACAACTTCTGCTTCTCCGGTAGCTGTGCAGGATCCGTAGCCATCGCCGTCTCTGGAACTGATTTCTCGTGATGTGTCCCACTAGATTTGCGCCGCTTGGCGCTCTCCGTCTCCTTCTCTGCCACGGCATCGTGTGGTCTCTTCTCGCCGAGCGGGGACTGGGGATGAGCCTTCTGGGTGGCCTTCTTCCCGTGGGCCTGTATGGTGTTAGTTTTGCCACCATGCAAGACGGACCGAGTCAGACATACCTTTGCTTCCGCGTTGCCATTCGTACTCTCCTTTGCTGTCTCTGACCTGGTTTGCGACGGTGTTGGAGTACCGGCAGCTGGTGTGGCCGAGGGTGTGTCCTGAGCGTGTCCACCGGCTGTTGGAGTAGCTTGTGAAGGAGTCGTCTCTTTGTTATCTGCGCTCGCATCCGTTCCAATGTCGCTATGGCGGAACTTGGGTTTGGCTGCCTTGGAGCCTTTCTTCCGGTTCCAAGGCTTCTCTCCGCGAGCCATGGCAGCAAGTAACTCGGCGTGAGCATCCGGGTTGCATTGTTCGCACAGGTACGTCTTGTCCTCCCAGAATTCGCTGCCAGGTAGATTTAGGCATTTGTTGTGCTGCCATGCCTCGCACCTGTCGCAACAGATCATTTCGCGACCTCGGATCTCGCGCTGCTCGCCGCAGACACAACGATAGATGGCTTCGTCATCTTCGGGTGGTTCTGTAGACTGTGCGGATTGTGCTGATTGTGCGCGCGACTGTGGAGCTGGAGTAGTTTGTTGTGGTGCTGGCGTTTGGGGTTGGGCCTTCTTCTCTGGCTTGCCCTTTGGTTTCGACTTGGGGACAGGTTCGTCTAGAGCATCTTGGTTCTTCGTGTGATGGCCCTTATTGGCGCGCCCGGAGCGGCGCACTTCGTCTATAACGGACATGTTAGCCAGTGTGCTCGCGTGGGCCGACGGACGAGGCGCATCGCGTGTGAGTGCGGCGTGCTTCGCAGGGAGACGGCGGCGATGAGGGTGCTTACCAGCCATATTGTACGGGACGCAACAGTGGGCTCAAGATGGATGCGACCAAGGTATTCAATTCAAAGGGGAAAGACGCGTAACAAATTCACAGTCTCTGCGGAGAGAGAGAAAGATGGTCAAGAAAGCCGCGAAAGAGGGGACTTGCCACACGGGATGGAGAGGAGAGTGAAGCTCTCTGGTGGAATGACGTCTAGCTAGAACACAGGCAGGCCCAAATAAAACAACTCTGCTACCGCCGAATGATTTGTATGTAGTAGGTGTTGCGAAGGAGGATGCGCGAAATGGTAGATCCCAAGCTGCAATTCCTTTCACGCGACAGAACCTTCTCCGCCCAACGTCCCGCCCTTCTGGAGTGGTTGAAGGGGCCTAACAGCAGCTGCAGTAAGGGGGATTTATTTAAGAGGCGCGAAACGATTGCGCAACGCCCTGAAAGAGAGTGATTGTTACGCGGGTTATGATGGAAGAGTATGCGAATGCGAGCTGGGAGGGTGGGCGTGGAATTTAGGAGTATTTAGTAGGAGGAGAGAGGTAGGTTTTGGTGTTGGTGGAAGTGGGAGGAGGTGGAAGTGAAAGTGGAGTAAGTGGAAGGAGAGTAAGGTAGAGAGAGAGCTATGCCGAAATGGCCCGTGCGCCATGTTCAGTGAACGACTCCTTCTTTGGTCACTATTGGGTGCGTGGCCGGGCGCGTCCGTCAACTAAAATTGTGGACGAACCTTCAGCTCCTCCATTACCTACTACTCATACTCATACTCATACTCATACTCACTCACTCACTTGTATTACAGTACCGAAGCTAAAGTCACAGCTTAGAGACCCTTTGAGCCACCTATACTCCTCCTACTGCGAACTACAAACGCCTCATATCTTTGTCCATTCAACGGCTTACCTAGGTATGGCCGACGTTCGTTCTTTGCTGCGCCAGGAGCGAGCATCTCGACAGCAAGCTACCCGTCCACAAAGACAATCCGCGGCACCCGCATCCGCACCTATATCGAGGAAAAGAAAGGCTGTCGGAGATACCGCCGAAGAAAGGAAGAGAACCAGGACAGAGGCGGCCGCAGGCGTTCCCGCAGGTTTCTTCGACTCAGGTGTCGCCGCCGATGACAATATAAGCACGGAGGTGGCGCCTGAGGTCCCAACATCAACAAGCGCACAAGAAGATGTCCCGTCTTCGGAGACTATCGCAAACGATGCGAGCAATCAGCCGTTCCAAACTACGGTGCCAGCTCATCCACCTGTCAGCGCCCCCGATGAGGACCTGGACGCATTCTTGGAGGAGATGGAACAAACGCCTGCGCCCGCGCCACATGTCAAACCCTCCACATTCGGCGCTGCAGTCATCGAGGCAGCGCCCATGACTGCTGCTGAAATCGCCGCTCAAGCACGGGAAGAACAAAGCGCGCAACGAGAAAAGAGGGAGGAGGAGGTCGAGGCAGAAAAGGAAGACGCGGACCGAGCTTTGCAGGACGAGTTTGAGGAAATGGAAGGTCTGGAAGAAAGAGTCCGGACATTGAGGGAGAAGAGAGAAGCCCTTCGCAAGCTAGCCAAAGCAGAGGAAGTTATGGTGGTGGAGTCGAATCAAGCATCCCAGGACGACGATGAAAGTGCATCAGAGGACGAAGACGATTGGGACGATTGGAGGTTTCGCGCAGCGTAAATCGCAATACTCAAAAAGTCTAGCAGGAGCATCGAGCTGTATATAATACTAGTACCAATATCCCTTGAGGATGATTGGCAATGATACCCTTCTCGTTATGTATTCTAGAGGTTCCTGGTTTCCCACTATTGCGATTAAGTCTAACATGGACAATTCCCCAATTGACTCTTTGAAGGTAATAATGACCAATTGCAGTTCTTTGACAATGATTCTCTTTCATGGATTGGCGAAAATTTACAATAGGGCATGGTCAAGCCAATCAATGCGTGTAACAATGTGAATTGCTCTGACGTTTTAATGCATGCCATGCCAAGGCGCTGAGGCAACTGGGTCGTGTCAACCCCTCGGACCCTCGCACAATATTGACACCTCTCATCATTCGCAACACACTCGAGATACTCCATTCACCAGGCCAAAGGCTTCTGTTCCGATAGCATACCATCCGGATTTAACTCAAACAACTCCCCAAGTCAGACGGAGCAGCATCTTTCGTCATGTCGCGGCGGCCCAATCCCGCAGCCGATCGAGCGGAGCAGAATCGCCAGACACTCAAGAGTTTAGTGAAGCTTGAGGCCAACAAGGCTTGCGCAGATTGCAAGCGAAACAAGCGTATGGGATACCGCGTATAATCTATAACATTTGTATCTGGGCTGAAAGAACATACAGATCCCCGATGGGCCAGTTGGAACCTAGGCATCTTCATCTGCATTAGGTACGATTGTCGGACATGTCTCACGATTCCGCCATTTCGAAAGTCTAACACGCATTCAGATGCTCCGGTATTCACCGTGGTATGGGAACACATATTAGCCGCGTCAAATCCGTCGACCTCGATTCTTGGACCGACGAGCAATTACAAAGTGTCTTGAAGTGGGGCAATGGAAGGGCCAACAAGTGAGAGATGGCATACACATATGAACCAGATTGGAGACTGACCGTTGTAGGTATTGGGAGGCAAAATTGGCGCCTGGCCATGTGCCTTCTGAAGCGTATGTTCACCCTACGACTAGCCAGAGATAAGAGCTAACACTAAGACAGGAAGATCGAGAACTTCATACGCACGAAGTATGAATCCAAGCGCTGGGTCATGGATGGCGGAATACCCGACCCTTCTTCGTTAGACGTTGAGGATGACGATGTGGTGAGTTAAAAGTTATACCCGCGCACGCGACAGCCCGATACTAAGAATCCGTAGCCTCTGAAGAAGGTCCAGGAAAAGGTACAAATCGAACGATCAGCTTCTCAGCGTCTGGCTTCCAGCTCAAGCCAACCTCCGCGACCACCACCCCAGGCGCAACCTGCCATTGATCTCTTCGGCGACGAAACCCCTGCACCCCCAAGGCCCAGCACTGGACCTCCTGGTGCCCGAACCGCCCCTCCCAAGGCAGAACCAGCACCTCCAAAGCAGACAAAGGCAGGCGACTCTCTGTTGGGCTTGGATTTCCTAGGCGGTGGTGCTTCGACGCAGCCCCCTCGGCCTTCCAGCACAGGTCCGTCTTCTGCTGCACCCTCCAGACCTGATCTCAAACAATCAATCCTATCGCTATACGCATCGGCGCCAAAGCCCGCGCCTCAACCACAGCAGCATGCACGACAGGACTCTTTCGGTGGACTTTCATCCCCCCAATCACAACAATCTCCTCAGCAGCAGTCGAACCTTGGTGGATTAAACGATGCATTCGGCGGCCTTTCATTCAATGCGCAGCCCGCGCCACCGAAACCATCCCCTTTCGCCGGGTTGGACTCCTTTACGAGCACACGATCTCCTCCGTCTGCGTCGTCCTCGAACATGTTTGGCGGCGGTGGAAGTTTCTTCGACTCTAACCCCAAGCCTGCCCCAGTACCCAAGGCGCAAACAGCTGTGGCCTCCGGAGGATTTGGCGACTTTTCTTCTTTCACATCTCCGGTTTCCAATGCTGCCCCTAAGGCTGCTCCTTCTGGAATGAATGACCTCCTAGACCTCTCGATGCCAGCTGCACCAGCAACCACTTCTCCCCCGGCCGCCTCATCCTCGTTCAATTCAGCATTCAATCTCTCATCCCCAGCGCCTCAAGCAGCAGCACCTCCCCAAGCTGCTCCCGCCCAAACTGCCGCTCCAAACTACTCCGGTTTTTCCAACATGGATGCATGGGGCAGCAACGATGTCTGGGCCTCCTCCGCATCCAGCCAACCCGCGCCCGCAAACGCTTCCGCAGGCACAACAACCACCCAGCCGAAGAGTTCAGGCGGATGGGGCGCATCCCCCGCCATCACCCAGGACGACGACTTCGGCGGTTGGAGCAGCGCCGCACCCGTCACCACGACCTCGCACACAACCGCGAACAAGACATCCAGCAAGCCCGCGGGAGGTTTCGGCGGCGGAGGCGACGACCTGTTCAACAACGTCTGGGAGTAAACCCCGACAACCAGCGAACGATTAAGAGTTTTTTTAAAAATTGCCAGCTAATGCAAAGAGAAACATTAGCATGCGTTTGAAAAAGGCCACAGCAAGCAAGCAAGCAACCCCTTTGAATAATCAGTCGATTCTTGATGTGAGAAGGCGAACGTATATAGATATGATATCATCCAAACACAATATATATCGCCATCATATCCCCACATAATGTGATATGTGCCACATGTTAGCTAGTACAGTAGTTACATCCAACGGCTGTCTGATTCACAATATACGTATGTAATACCAATCGCTAAGAGCAAAGAGAGACAAATTCCCACACGCCACACGCCATACTGTGTACACCCAACGAATATCAAACCCATCTCGCAAGAGAGAAAAAACATGGATACGCCAACCCAGATGCTATGCTTTGAAAAGACCCTCTCTTCCCCTCTCCCCCTCCTCCCTTCCACCCCCTACCCCTTCATCTTCCACGTACCCCGAGTGTGTTCAATTCAGAATCAGAAAATCAACCCCCAAATCCAATACAGCACCAACACAGCCCCCACGATGATGCCTGCCAGCTTCAGAATCGCAACTTTGTTTCCCGACTGCGCCATGCGGCCGAGGCGGGTCGCGCTGCCTTTCAGCGTCGTGCCGAAGGAGGAGAAGGTCTCGGACTACATTGGCGTACCCATTTCGTTAGCTATCCGTTCCTAGTGTTGCGGGGGAGTTGGGGGGAGGGGGAAAGTACGGTGTTATCGATCATAGTCTGGTCGCGCGCGTTGTCGTAGATGTCGATTGTGACGCCGCGGAGGGCGGAGACCTTGGAGGCGAGCTCGTCGAGGCGGGAGTTGTTCTGCCTGTGAAGGTTGTGGGTTAGTAAATTTGTATGCTTCCCATTTCAGAGAGGAGAAGGGAAGTGCGGGATGGGGAGGGATTGAAGGGTTGTGTCTGTCTTGTCTCCTTTTGTGAGGGGGGTGGAGGAGGGCCTACCTTTCACGTTCGAATGCTTCGGCCATGGTGACGACGGTTCGTGAGGGGGGTGGTTCGTAGGTGATGTAGTGTAGATTGAGAGAGGTGAGGTGTGAGGAGAGTCGTTGGTTTTCTGCGAGGAGAAGAAGAGTGGCAGTTGAGAGGATTCGAGGGACGGAGATCTGCCTGGGTTTGTAGGGGTTTACGGACTTTTGTGGAGGAGCCAGATGGTTAAGTGACAAGGGACGTTGGGGTTGGGCTGGTCGCATGGAGCGAGCGCCAAGGTGCGGTAGGGCTGAGTTCCAGGCCCATAACACGAGGCGAGGTACTCCGCATTTTGTGATCCATAGTCGAGATATCATTATCAAAATTTCAACGTCGATATAGTTATGTTGTATGACCTAGAAAGTAGCATTATGCATTTGATGCCCTTGGATATCAGTCCAGACACATATTCATCTTAGGGATAAATTACGGTCGTTTTTGAAAGTCTTCCTTTGGTATGTTGAAGTCAATCATATCAATTGGATTGCTTTAACTGTCTTAAAAAATAGAAAAAAAAAGGGCAACGAATTCAATCATTTACTTAGTCCCAGTCCATACTAATCATATATACTACCTAACCCTAACCCTAGTAATTGTTGTCTTTGAGCCACTCAGCAATATACTTCTGCTGGTCGGACACAATATTCATAGCCTCATCCGTATCGTAGAGATCATACCAGCCTGGACTCTCATGCGGCGGATCTCCAGCCCAAACCAGCCCGAAGTCATTCACATATTGAGTCTCTGGCCTCCAAATTCCGCCATATGCCCAAGGACAAGTGCCCACATACGCCCCTTTACCCGTGAATTCGTCGATTACCGCACCGATAATGCTCTGCAACACATTAGCTTCACCCTCTCTTGCAATCGGACGCTGCTTACATTGAAATAGGCATCTTTGTGCGTGGTTCCGGCACTGCTGAGGTACGGATATTCCTTGCCCTTATTCTCCCAATTATCCCTCGCCATGCCGAACTCCTCCAAGAACACTGGCTTCCCAATATCAACCGCCCACTGACTCGAATTCCGCATGAAAGCCGTCGCGAAGTCCTGCGCCTGCTTCAAGTTCGCCTCGCTCGAATTGTACATATCATAGATACCCCAATTCTGGACCCAGCAGTGCGTAGTAGCATAATCCACCGTCGAGAAATTATGCACCTGCTTGAAATACCACTCCCCCTGCTTCGACTCCAACCCCACGCTCACAAGCTGCTTCGGCGCCAACTCGCGGATGAACTTCGATATCCTCTCCACCCACGGCACCAACAGATCATCCGGATTCGGGACCAGAAACTTATTAAACGGCCCCTCGTTCCCCAGCGGCGCCTGAGGCTGCGGCTCATTCGCAAGCTGCCATGTCATAATCGTAGCATCTTCCCCATACAACCTCCCATTGACCGTATTCCTCCTCCCCACCACCGTCCTAACATGCTCCTTCCACCACTCCTCGGCCCTCCCATCCGTATAAAACCGATTCGCATACTCCGTAAACGCCCCATAACTCTCCGCATCCACGCCCTCAACCGTATAATTTCCCCAGCCCGTCCTCGGCGTCGCCCGCTGCGGCGCGGCACTCAAGTTCCAACTCGGCGGGTACGGAATCTGCTCGTTACCTTGCGACCAGGAAACCCACTGCGCGAACCCCCCGCTCCACTGCCACTCGTTGTTCAGCGTCATGGTGGCGCGCATCCCGCGCTTCCCCATCTCGTCGAGACATACGTCGAGCCCTCTGAACACTTCTTCGTTGTAGACGCCCGGCGCGTCGAGCAGCGCGGGGGCCATGCGGAAGGGTTGCGGTGTCGCGGCGCCTTCGGAGGCCGCCATGATGCGGAGGTGGTTTACGCCCTTTGCGGCCATTTGGTCGAGCTCGGTGGTCAGGCGCGTGTAGTTACCGCCTTGGGAGGCGGGGGCCGCGAGGTTCATGCATGCCCAGTAGTTTAGGCCGGTGAGGTAGTGGAGGCCACGGGAGTCTTTGAGGCGGAGGTTGGAGACGTAGACGAAGTCGTCGGCGGGGATTGGGTGGTGTTTGTGTGGGAGAGCCTTTGCGAGGGTTGGGGAGGAGAGGGATAGTGTGGTGAAGAGGAGGAGGGTTTGGGGGTTCAGATGGCGCATGGCTGGTGAGTTGCTTGTGAATATCTCACGTTTGGCGAACTTGGAATGAGCATATTGAGGACCGACTTGAGGAATTGTGACGTTATATGAATACTGAGATTTGTACTACTACGGCCCATAGCAGTAGAGCATCCGGGTAATCAAACCCCGAACTTCGTAGACTCGATGCATCTGAAATGTGGAGAAGGGGCACTGATCATTGCATATCTGGGACTGCGGGGTAAAAATTAAGATCCTTGACCCGCATGGCCATGGGACGTTCCTGTGTAACCGTTGCTTCTACGCGTGCTACGAGGGTATGACGACGGGAGTGGGGAGTTTGTGATGCGGTGAGGTCGGATTAAGCTTGGTGGCGTGAATCGTCGGGGGCTTGTGCGAGGTGGGCAGCGGGTGGTGTTTGGTTGTGGGTGGTGCTGTGCCTAGAGATAAGTAGTCTGTAGATCTATGCTAGGATTGGCGCTGCATGGTGGATGTGTCTGCGTTCGTGATGTAACCTTATCGCAATGGTTGTCTTGGAAGTACAAGTGTAAACGGTAAAACAGTTATTTCAATTTCAACATACATACATGGATAACAGACTACAAATCTAACACGATATGTCCGATCCCCCTCGAAACGCAGCTCAGCATCGCTGTCTTCTTCTCCGCCTCCACGAGCCCAGTGCCTCGATGCTCGATGCGCCCGTCGCACACATTGACTCTGCACGTCCCGCAGTTCCCAGCTTCGCACGAGGAATCGATGTCTAGACCCACCTCCTTCAAGACGTCTAGCAAGGTTTGGCTTCCTCCGACTTCGACGGTCTTTCTGCTGTTCTTCAGTTCTGCAGTGAACGGATCCCCTGATGTCGCGACGGCAAATTGCTCGAAATGAAGGGAGGAGTCGGGGACGTTGAAGTTTTTAGCGGTGGAGGCTACGCCGTCCATTAGACGTTGTGGTCCGCAGCAGTAGATGTGTGTGTTGACGTCGGCGCGGGATATTACTTTGGCGAGATCGAGCTTCTGGCCAGCAAATCTGTTGTAGATGGTGGCATTGGCCCCGAGAGCTGCGATGTGTTTTGCGTAGGGCACCTCTGCAGCGACTGCGAAGTGGAGTTCATAAGCCTTGTTGGATGATTTCAGGAATTCCAGGGCAGCGAGGAACGCGGTAATGCCTATCCCGCCAGCAATGATAATGTGACGGTCTGCCTGCTCCGCGAGCGGAAAGCTTGCGGTAATGTTTCCGACCGTCAAGACATCTCCGACCTTTGTCTGCTCGTGCAAGAACTTGGATCCACCACGGCTCTCCGGATCAAGAGCAATTCCAAGCTCAAACTTCTTCGACGTGCCTCCGACAACAGAATAAGCCCGCACCAGCTTGCCTCCGAGTTTGAGTCGTACATGGCTTCCTGGCTCCACTGGGGTACTCTCGCGTTCTTGATCTAGCGCGTCGAGAACGAATGCCGTCACCTTGCTCGTCTCTTGTCTCTTTTCAACGATTCGATATTCGTTCCAAGTGCTCATCCTCTCATCCTCCCCTCCAAACATTCTTCCGTCCTGGTCTTCGGCATATCCTTTATCAAGTCGAGATTGGATCATGCGTGTGAAAGAGTCGTCCAATTGTGGCAGCTGTACTATCTCTTTCATGCGGATTACATTATCTTTCTCGTTGTAAAGATAGTGCATGAACCGCGCCAACGTCCATTCCGGGTGCGGTCGCTCGACCAACTGAATCATGTCTCCAACATTCAGATCGCCGGTCTTCAAAACGCGATATAGCCACCCGACTCGGAAAAGGGTCTGCGCGCGTTTGGCCATATCTTTAATCTCAAAGCGGTGGTTGAGCTTGTAGCATGGCGCCCGCGAACCCGTAACCTCCAGTAAGACGTTTCCGATGGAAATCTTGTCACCGATGCAGACGGTCCTCTCGTCCATCTCGGTCGAAACTAGGTTTTCGCCGAATGCGCCTGCATTGCAGAATTGGGAGGCCTGTGGGAGCTCTTCCTTCCAGGTGTCGTAATGACGGGAGCAGTAATGTAGCAGTGCTTTGTCTACTCCGCCGTGGGTGTGGAAACTTTGTTGGTCGGTTGCAATGCCTGTGGGCGTGATTGGTACGGGGCCGGAGAGGGGCACCTTGTAGATGGCAGACTCGATGCCCTTGCCCCAAAGCTTTTGGATCCTACCAGCACGGATCTGGAGTAAAGGATGAGGGGCAAAGGGTTCCGGGTTTTGGAAGAGGTCGCCATGGACGGGATGCAATGTTGCAGAGTCGCCCATGATGTTCGACTTTGGAATTGGGGTAGATTTGATGCAATGCTCCTTTCTGACTAGGTGATCCGTCCTTGATCTCCCCTTGCGCGACTACGGCGTAATGAACACCGTTGAATCTAAAGTCCAATAGCGTGAGTATCTGTTCTGATCGAGTTTCTACAATATTTTGCGAGTGACAGTACTTACCATGGCAACAACAGCTGATAGCGACGGTCCGAGAACGACACGAAAAATGATAGTCCTCCACTGTACGGAGCAGAGGTAACAAAATTGCAAGAACAAAGAGCAAATAGATCTGACGATAGTTGCGATGCTGGTCTGAATGAGAACAGGCAGAGGCAGAAACAGAAGATAATCGATGTGAGAGACCAGACGACACTTAGTTTGTACGGACCTCGCCTACTGCCGAGTCCCGACTGCCAGCCAATCGGGGATTGCGAAAACACTCCGTCCCTCTCGGTGTTGGCGAGATTAAGTCATCAAGTCGATTGAGGGTGTGAAGGCCTGATTGGTCAGATGCATTACATAGAGACTGCACATTGCTTATGGAGAGGCTGAGGGATTTCAAAGCTGGACTGGACCTCGGTCGAACTCAAAACTTCTGTTTGAAAACCTTTTCGACATGCACTGCCACGACTACTTTTACAACAATTGTGTTTGCTAAACGTCTCGTATTGTGTCGGCCGAAATGGAGAAGAAAAAATCAAAAGGTTCGGTGAGGCTGTGGTGGATCGCGTAAGGGATGCCTCTACCTGCAATAGGTAATGCTCAGAACTACCCACCAATTGACGTCATCTTGGCATAGCTATTCACGATGAATCGTCATATCGAGCTCACCAATATATCTATGGTGAAGTACATACGTCAATTCAATTGATCGGCCACGGTTACATCTCGAGTATTTCAACTTGTACAATACTCTTGAAACCTATAAACCATCAGCCCAATTGCCATTTCCAATCCACAATCTCAATCCAGAGTCTCAACCCACAGTGCTCTTCACCTGAGCTCATCCCCGCATCTTGAACATCCACAACTACCTTCAACCCCACAAACCCAACAACCAACACAACAAACCAAAATGTTCCGCTGCCAACCAACCCGCACCCTCCTCCAACGCGCCACCTACCTCCGCTCCCACGGCTGCCACCCCTCCACCCTCTCCCGCCCCCTCACCACCACCACCCCCTTCCTCGCCCAAAAGGACGCCCAGGACAAAGACTCCCTCAACCCCCGCTCCACCGAGTACTCCAAGTCCGGGGGCGGCGACGACGCCGCGGCGCACACGGACGCCGCATTCAACCCCAACAAGACGCGGCCCGAGGAAGAAGGGCAGCACGAGAATCCGCTGGAGACGAGCCCGGGGAATAAGGAGGTTAGCAAGGCGAGGAAGGAGGATGAGGGCGGGGCGCAGGGGTCGCCGAGGAGGAGTACGAGTAGTAAGGGGAGTGCGCCGAAGGCGGGGGGTGGGAAGTCGGGGTGAGGAGTGAAAGGGAAGGGTTTTAAAAGGAATGAGAGGAGGTATGGTTTTTAATGGATTCATACGGTGACTGGCTGGGCGGCACCGCTGGCGTTTTTGGGATTTATGCCGGGATCAAGGGGCATTTTATCGTGTTTAATGAATCACTTGATATTATTATCATCATTAATGAAATAGCATTCGAATTTATATATTCATGGAAACGTTTCTGTGTAATATCCTGGTCACGACTGATGTGAATAAGGAGTGTTTGTGACAGCTCGGATTGCATTCATCTCCACACTGACAAAACACATCATCAAAGCTAGTGTCCATTAATCCTCTCGGCCTCAGATCAGAAATGTGATTTCGGGTATTTGCAAGCAAAGCTCCTAACTACAGAAAGAAGAGAAGAAAAGAGACAAGACATGGCAGGACTTCCGACTGCCCATGCAGATATGCAAAACGAACTCCCAAATCTATACAAGTACCGCACCTCCACCGACGCCTAGCATCGAGACATTCCGAGGGCAATGGATCCCTCGAGGCAGTGAGTAAACAGAACAAGAACAGCAGACATAATACAGAGAAGCTGGGAGGCCAATCGGTCCCAGTAGGGAAGTGGACATGCGCGGATGTAGAACGGCTCCTCTAGCTACAGAGAGCTACGTTCAGGGGAAAGACGAATCGTCCGGCATGACGAATCCCTTCGCGTCGAACTCCTTCCTGATGAAGTCGGCCATGGCGTCTGCTTTCTTCCGCTGGATGTGCAGCACGCCGCCCTTGATGTCTTTCTCGCGCTGGCTCATCGTGCTGGTGATGGATGGCGCTCGTTTCTTGCCAGCAGCAACCGCAGCGCCGTCCCCGGTAGGAGCGGCTAGCGAGTCTGCGGCCTGCGACTCGCCGTGTTGCGTAGCGTCTCCGTCCTCTACGGCCGAGTCGTCGGTAGGCGGATACCTGGGGTCCCCGCGGGCTTCGGGGGTGATTTTGAAGCCTGACTTTCGGGAGGGTGGGACGCCGCCTATGAGTACGAGGAGAAGGGTGGGTTGGATGGCGCGGGCGATGATGTTGTTGTTTTCGAATTCGATGGTGAGGGTTTGGAGGTCCTTGGATGGCGATGAAGCGTTGTTGGTGTCTGTTTGCTGCTTGTCGGGTCCGTATTCTTTCCAGGTCATGGAGACAAGGGCGGCTTGGTCTCGGAGGTCCTTGATGTCGACTGGGGTGGAGTATGCGAGGAGTGTGCCGTTTCGCGACATGATGCTGGGCACGTGAGTGAATTGGTCGTCACGAGCGACATGGCTGGGTGGACTTACAACATGTGCGGGAAGAGATTGGGGTCGACATTCCTGGCGAGAAGCTCGCTCAGGTTTTTAACGTTCAACATCGTGGTTCTGCGGTGACGAATCTGTTAGATGGGAACAAGCACTATGCTTCTGGAGATAGCTATCAAGGTGGTGGTGAGGAAGAGAAATGGGGATTCGAAAGGAAAGAGAATAAGAGACATGAACAAGCTGTCTGGCACATACTATAGAATTGACTCAAGGAGTGACTGATAGAGATTAGAAAGGAAGATGGCACAGCAGACCGACCTTGGGCGTTGCATCAATGAGATTGCAATTCACCTTCCAGAAATTAGGCGCACTCTTTGGCACCGGCCACGTCGACACCGCTCTGGCGGCCAAGTGCGCGTAACAAAGGGTTCCGGAGTGGTGCAGTAATTATGTATGATCAGAATGTGAAGCCAGAAGAGCCAAATTTCCGTTTGTCGCAGAGGTAGATAACTATATCTCAAGGTGTGGCATGGTGTTGCGGCGGACTTGTAGACTGACTTGACTTTGGGAGCAGCCCAGCCACCGCGGATGACGCCCCGATAGGCTTAGATACCTTTCCGTTGCCGGACAAGAATCAATCCGGGCCGCGTCACGTGCTTACTACCGTTGTCATGTTGGGTCAATTGTATTGAGATCTGAGGTGCAAATATTCCTGAAGATTGCGCTCATCTTTCAAAAGCTGGAAGAAGACAAAGGCAAGGAACGTAACAGTAATTGCCATAAGGGGTGCAAGGAATGGCATGGCATGGATAGAAAGGCTGTCTCTAGCCCATCTATGACGCGTTTGTGCAGCCCCGTCAACGGTCAGACAATCGATCATTTTAGGCATTCCGAGTAAATTCCGATTACCATACATTTACTACGAGTAATTGTCTAGTTTCTGTAATTATCTTGTGTATTTATTAGCACTATGATCGATCGTTATTGGAGGTCGTTGAAAAGAGATCGACGTCATTCGTCAATCTTTTTTGGTGACCTGAAGCTCCCCATCAGCCCCACCACAGAAGATGCAATAGCCCCTCCACCTACTCGTACTCGTCGCCGGCGTTTGTAATACACCAGAGCTTTTGCCGCAGCTTTCGTCTTGTCTCCCTTCTCTCCTAAAACATTCATGTTCTTGCGTCCACTCTGTAGACGTGCAAATCAATTACCAAAGTGTCATCTACCCATCGCAGCATCAATTGCCATCAACTCTAGGTTCCGTCTAAACAACACTTTCCGCGCCCTAGCAACCATGGCGACCGATCCAACCAGCTACAAGCTTAACCACTCCATGTAAGCATTACCTTACCTGCAGAACTATCCAACATTGTGCTCATACTAACGCCTCTTTTCCCCAGGATCCGCGTCAAGGATCCCAAGCGATCAGTCGAATTCTACGAGTTCCTTGGCCTTAAGCTCATCAACCAGCACAAGAACCCTGACGCCAAATTCGATCTCTACTTCCTCGCATACGACAGCCCCGGCGCCGTCTCGCACGGCAACCACTGGTCCGATCGTGAGGGTATCGTCGAGCTCACCCATAACTATGGCACCGAGAACGACCCCAATTACAAGATCGCGAACGGCAACACCGAGCCGAGAGGTTTTGGCCACCTTTGCATCTCAGTTGATAACATTCAGGCTGCATGCCAGCGTATCGAGGATGCAGGTTATAGGTTCCAGAAGAAGTTGACTGATGGAAGGATGCGACATATTGCATTCGTGTTGGACCCAGATGACTATTGGGTCGAGGTCATTGGCAGGAAGCCTTTGGAGGAGACTGAGAATGTTAAAGATACCGATGTCTCAACCTACAGACTCGTGAGCCTGCCTCTTATTATGCCGTCGATTGTAATCGCCCGGCACTGACAATTGAATAGAATCACACCATGATCCGCGTCAAGGATGCCGAGAAGTCGCTCAACTTTTACAAGGACGTCATGGGCATGAAGCTTAAGCGTACATCAGAGAACGAGAAGGCACAGTTCAACCTCTACTTTTTGGGCTACGGGGACGATGCGTCGGCAACCACCGCCCACCAAGAAGGTCTTTTGGAGCTTACCTGGAATTACGGAACCGAGAAAAACCCCAACTTCAAGTACCATGACGGCAATGCGGAGCCTCAGGGCTTTGGTCACATTTGTGTCAGTGTTGATGACATTGATGCCGCATGTGCCCGATTCGAGGAGAAGGGTGTGAACTGGAAGAAGAGGCTCACCGATGGCCGAATGAAGAATATTGCTTTCGTCCTTGGTAAGTGATACTCAAACATCGCCTAATTATAAGGCATATCATACTAATGGCATATTGCAGACCCAGACGGTTACTGGATCGAAGTCGTCCAGAACGAGAAGTTGAAATCTGGTGGCAGGGCGGCGATCTGAGAAACGATCGAATGGTTTCTTTTCTGGTCAAGCGCGGGGTCTACAAGTCAATAGGAATTTGATGCAAGAGGTCAGTGTGAGCCTCCAATGAAATCGAATCATGCTTGTGTACCTCGACCAGGTTGATACAAGTGAGTGAATTCCGAGAGTACAGCATACATCGTACAGCATGCACCCCATCGCTTGTCCGACCCAAGGTACATGTACGCATGACCAGTATTGCTTTTAGGTGGCAATTGTAATATACGTGCACATAACTAAGTTTCATTATATTACACACTCGTTACTGAACCGATGTCTCCAGTCTGATCAGTGTATAGCCACTCCTTTTGACTAAAACTCATCTCTTTCTCTTACGATTTTCACACAGTTTCTTGCAATTCATATCGAATTGCTCGTCACCGGCACCATTTAGTGAATGCTGTGACAGGTCGGCGACGCAAGCGTGGGAGTGGAACGTGGGGAATCGCGGGGGCGGGCAGCGGGGTAGCTCCCCGTCTAGCCAGAAAGCGTAAGCATCTCACAGGTCAAAGGCAAAGGCACTGCAGCAAGGGCGCTGCACGATGATCCTGAGAGAAAGCGTACATGTACAATGCCCTTTGATGGATGTCCGATAGCGGACTAATCAATTATCCGGCGCCTCGGAAAGTACGACATATAAAGGAGGAGGGTGGGTGACATTCGAGATGTTCATACATAGCAAACATCTTTCTTCTCCGTCTCTTCCGATAGCTAGCAGCATGCCTCTCCTACCTCACTCAAAACCGAGGGTCCTCATTCCGGAGAAAGTTTCTCCGGATGGGTTGGCTCTTCTCAAAGGCCAGTTCGATGTGGACGAGAAGAAAGGACTGAGTCCAGAAGAGTTGAAGAGCATTATTTCTGACTACGAAGCCCTCATCGTGAGATCTGAGACCAAGGTCACGGCTGAGCTGCTCGAGGCTGCCACAAAACTCAAAGTTGTTGCTAGAGCTGGTGTAGGCGTCGACAACGTCGATGTCGGCAGCGCTACGAAACATGGAATAATCGTTGTGAACTCGCCTTCTGGCAACATCAATGCTGCCGCCGAACATACCATTGCCCGTGAGCTGCATCTCCATGTCCTTTGCAACTGAACTAGAGACTAAATGAAGCAGTCCTCATGGCCGTGGCACGGAACGTTGGAGACGCCGATGCAAGTATCAAAGCTGGAAAGTGGGAACGAGGACGACTCGTGGGTGTAGAAGCCAAAGGAAAGACATTGGGAATCATTGGTCTAGGAAAAGGTACCTCACGTGGCCTACTTTATAACTACCAGAGACTCTAACATCGATCCAGTCGGTCTCACTGTTGCACGGATAGCAAATGGCTTGGGAATGCGGCTGATCGCATATGATCCATATGCCAACCCGAACCTGGCAGCAGCGGCATCTGTGACTCTACGAACAAGTCTGGCTGAGATCTTGAAAGAGGCCGATTTCTTGACATTGCATACTCCACTGATCGCTTCAACAAGAGGCATGATTGGCAAAGCAGAGTTGGCGACCATGAAGCCAACAGCCAGGATATTGAACGTAGCCCGAGGCGGCATGATTGACGAAGACGCCCTTCTCGAAGCACTGAATGCAGGAACCATAGGAGGTGCAGGTATCGATGTCTTCACATCAGAACCTCCACAGCCAGACTCCTCTGCGACTCGGCTCATCGCCCACCCAAAAGTTGTTGCAACGCCACATCTCGGTGCCTCGACACGGGAAGCACAAGAAAATGTATCCATTGACGTGTGCGAACAAGTCGTCTCCATCCTGAACGGAGACCTCCCTCGCTCAGCCGTCAACGCGCCCATCATCCTCCCCGAGGAATACAGGACCCTCGCACCATTCGTCGCTCTAGTAGAAAAGATGGGCTCTCTCTACACCCAACACTACACCTCAAAATTCGCCTCCCCAGGCGCCTCCACAAAGTCCTTCCGCACCACCTTCGACATCACCTACGAGGGCGCCCTCGCCTCCCTCAACACCACAAAACCGCTCTTCGCAGCCCTCGTCAAAGGCCTCCTCACGCCCATCACATCCTCAGACGGCCTCAACATCAACATCGTCAACGCCGAGCTCCTCGCAAAAGAACGCGGCATCCTCATCAACGAGCAGCGCAGCCGCGAAAACGTCGACGAGAAACCCTACTCATCATTCGTGACGCTGCGCGCCCGCGCCACGCGCTCCCCCTCCCACCAGCGCTCCGACCTCTCGCGCTCCAGCTCCCCATCCGCCGCCCGCACCACCGCCACCAGCCAGAAACCAGCGGCATCCGCCGCGGAGAACGAAGACCAGGTCATCCAGGGCTTCGTGTCCGGCAACAAGCCGTACATCTCGCGCCTCGACCGCTTCAAGGGCGAGTTCGTGCCCAAGGGCACGCTGCTCATCTGCAGGAACTACGACTCCGTGGGCAAGATTGGGTTCGTGGGGAGTTTGCTGGGGAAGGCGGGGGTGAACATTGGGAGCATGGCTGTGGCGCCGCTGCATGAGGATTTGGAGGACGCGGCGGGCGAGGCGGAGAATAACGAGGCGTTGATGATTTTGGGCGTGGATAAGCCGGTTGGTGAGGATGTGGTGAAGGGGTTGATTGCTGGGGAGGGTGTGCTGGAGGTCAGTGTTATTAACTTCTAGTTCCTCGTGGATGTGGGAGATACTTGGGTGTTGAGGGATTGTGAGGAGGGAGGGCTTGTGGTTGTAGCATTTTTATCATATAGTCATTGACTTCAACGTCAATTGATAGAGTTGTTAGAAGAAACATTTACTTTTTTTTATACGTCTATGATTTTCTCGTCTGTGGTTTTGTCACATGTCTGACTGAACTTGTAATGCTATGCTGACTGTGTTGCGTTTTTATCAATATATATTTCTGCGGTTGATCCCACACCTCCATTACAAGCTACAGCGCATTTCTGATCTTTCATTTCCCCGAATATAGGTTTAAGGAGATCATAGTCGCAGTTGCGTGCAGCCACTGTTCTCTGTTATGGTACATTGGACCTCGGCGATTAGAAGCTTGTAAACGCCGGATGGCGCCATGACGATTTTATATCGAGCGGACGAAAATCATGGCATCATGCTTTGTTTCATACAAACACTTAAACCCTCGACGAACCACTCTATAACCACCATAACCTAAGCAATCCTCAATCCACAACAACACATTCGACACACAGTAGATTCAACCTACCTCTGCCACCATGTCCACAGCAGCAGCCCTCGCCGGCAGCACCGGCCTCGTCGTACGTCCACCCATTCACCCAACAACCAACCCAACTAACCCCAACACCAGGGCTCACACATCCTAACGCAACTCCTCTCTCACCCGTCCATCCTCGCCGTAAACGCCTACACGCGCCGCGAACTCCCGCAAGAAACCGCCTCCCCGAAACTCTACCCCCTCAGCTCGACCGACACCTCCGTCTGGCCGTCCCTCTTCCCCCGCAGCCCAGCCCCCTCGCTCTTCATCTCCGCGCTCGGGACCACGCGCGCAGCCGCCGGCGGCGTCGACGCACAGCGCAAGATCGACCTCGATCTAAACTACGACCTCGCGGTCGCGGCCAAGGACGCCGGCGTGCAGACGTACGTCCTCGTGTCCTCCGGCGGCGCGAACGCAAACAGCATGGCCGCGTACCCGAAGATGAAAGGCGAGTTGGAGGAGAAGGTGAAGGCGCTGGGGTTCAAGCATACTGTCATCTTGCGGCCTGGACTCATTCTGGGTACGAGGGGGGAGAGTAGGCCGGCGGAGGCGGTGGTCAGGCATATTGCGTGGGGGTTGAAGAGGGTGACGCCTGCGCTGACGAACTTTTGGGCGCAGGATGCGGAGACGATTGCGAGGGCGGCGGTGGAGGCCGGGGTGAGGTGTGAGGAGGGGAAGAGGGAGGGGAAGGAGGGGGTTTGGGAGTTGGGGCAGAAGGATATTCTTGAGCTTGGGGAGGTGAGGAAGTGATGGGTTTTTGGGAGATTGCCATGGCGTACACAGTGTGGACTTGTAAGCACAAGTGCGACGAGGTGTGACGGATGTCCCGAAAGGACGGGATTGCGGGGGAACGGTCCCGAGATGATGGGATGCAAATCTTTGGTTCTGGAATGTCTCACGAAGAATGCTTATTCTGGTATCGGTATCCCAATCTCGATGGCTCAATGTGGAAAAACTGGACGTCGTGGCATCAGACTCGACCGAATTTGGAGATCACTCGTTCCTATCGTAATGGGGAGGCAGTGCGAATGACTGGGAGAACCGGTGAATCGCTTTGATGTTTTCTGTTCTATTGGTATCTTTTCGTTACCTGCTAGTACTTCGAATGAGATACCCTCTTTTCATCGTGTAATTCGCACCTCTATATCTACCGATCTACCCGAAGTTTGATACCTCCAAGGACACGAACTTTGCTCGTAGGGAAAATCGATTCATCGCATCGACAACAGAAAACGAAAACAAAACTCAAAACAAAACAAAACAAAATAGACCAATCAAAACACCATGTCAGCAAAAAGTCGCATCATCTCATCCAAAGAGAGCCCAGACAATTAAAATTATTATTTCTTCAATTAGGCGTGAAGACGTGAATGAGTGCGATGTCATCTAGCGACTCACACCCATCGCCATCCCGTATACCGGCGCAGTACGGAGACGAAAGGAAAACACTCATCGTAGAGTACAAGCAGAAGTGGTGAAGTATCAGGCGAGTATGGTGTCACTCACCACCTACGCAGATCCGCAAGTAATCAGGAAAACGATTAATTTCGCCAGTAGGCGGTTGGTTGAGTGCAGATTATGCCGGTCGGCGTGTGCCGATGAGCGAAGAGCAGAGAAAAGTGTCACACCATGCTCGAACGACCTCGCCAAGTATTCCATCCTTCCAACGTCCGTCCGCCGAACATCCTTTTACAGAACCGGATGACTGGACTGGACTGGACTAGATTCTACTGTGTAGAAACACGTCTCCGCTAAATGCCCAATATAGTAACTCCCATCATCCTTTCGTCCAATCCAGGTGCCTGGATTTCGAGCTTGACCCCTGTGCCCCTGTGCCTGAGACCCCGTCCCGTACCGTACTGCTAACTGGTAATAATCATGGTGCCACCATAGTTATTCCCCGTAGGGCTGACCTGGGAAATGTCGCTGCGACTCACTCCCTCTTCGTCTGGAGCTCTCATCTCAGGTGATGGATACACTTTGTGGTGTGATATGTTCCTATACGCAGGATTTGTCTCCCACACACACACGTAGGCAAAATGATCCTTCGTATATAGACTGCCGTGGGAGATGCTGGGTGGAGTTTCTCATCCACACACACTCCACTCAATACACAAAACAGTACAATACAAATCACCACACTACTCCACGATATAGAGGCATAGAAACAGTCATATAGACATTCGGTCTTCTCAACTCAACTCAACAACCAAACAAACAACTCACCTCAACTCACACCGAACCAAACCAACAAAACAAACCAAAACCCCCAATCTAAACAACATGCCTGCTGCCACCCCCCGCCTCTCCATGCTCCGCGGCGCCGCCCGCTACCTCACCGAGCCTCACCCCTTCGCCCGCAACCCCGTCACCCAGGCCCCTCACTCGGTCCCCTGGAACGTCTACGCCAGGCGCGTTGGC